TACTTGTGGTGCAGGGCAATGAATCTGGTCTTACTTACGAGTAGACCCAGCGTCCCAAGTGGTTTTCGGCTGCCAATCCACTCGTCATCCGCACCAAGTTAGTCGTGGTCGAGTAGCTTGACGCCCATCCCAACATACCGTCGTTATCGACCAGGATACGTGAAAGTTTGCATGAGATGTGGACAAGAACTGGGCCATGAGAAAAACGGGATCGAGTCGTGCAAATCAGGCAAGCGTGACGAACATAGCCCAAGTGATGTACTGTACTGTGCAGTATTTGTAGAGTCACCTTCTGCAAGAATTGAGTCCCCAAATAAGACACCAACAGCTTTGTAATGTACAGTCGCGAGCACAATCGGTTTCCGGTTCTGCAGTCAGCTTTGTTCTCGCCGCACGGTCCACACGACAAGGGTCCTGCCACATTAGTGCTAGTGTTCTACAGGGGTGGGGGTGTAATCTATACCGCCTGTTGTACAGTATAGTCAGATGTGTAACAAGTCATCCTCAATTGGTAGTAATCTATAACAGTTGTCTAACAATATCTAGAATTAAAATTTACAAAGCTTGCATTAATTAAGATACAAACTTCTAGGAATAGCCACATGCTTAAGTAAAACTTCTATACTAAGACTAATTCTAAAGGACGCAAGACGAGGCGAGGCAGGTCATCAATACAGTAGCAGGACCAACAGATGCGGTTTATATGTGCATAGACAGCACCTCAGTAATCTAGTGCCTACGCGGAACAGCTTCAGACTCCTCGCAATGGGCGTTCCTTCAATGTCAGGAGATAATAGATACAATGCCTAATATCAAGATCCGATGGGCACCAGGACACACCAACATTGAAGGCAACGAAGCAGCGGATAGCCTCGCGGATACTGAGGCAAAAGAACCCTCTAGGCCATTTGGACTAGCAGCACAACCAACAGTATCAGGCATACGGACAATAAGGAAAGCAGCACTAGCCGCGGCTAGTACAGCCTGGTGGAGCAACGCAAAGAGCAAGCTCTCTAACTGGTATACCCAGTAGAAGCTGCCGTACCAACCCACCTAGCCACCACATGAGCTAGAGCTAACACGCCCTACCCTAGCAAGACTGCTAGCAATCCGGACTAGCCATGGAGACTTTGCATGGTACCATCAGAAATTCCACCATCACAACGCGACTCTGAAGTGCACCTGTGGGCGCCCAAAGACCCCCTTGCACATCGCACTATGCCGGAAAACCACAACAGCAAGCGTCTTCCGGCGCTGGCCGAAACGGCCACCAGCACCCCCTAGGACACCTAGTGAAGCAGCCAAGTACCTCCAGACGCTCTAGGAAGAGCCAGAGGACTTTGCCGCTTTCTTAGAAATCACAGGTTTCTACCGCACAATATGTAGGCCTCACTAGAGCCTACACTTGTAATACCTTTTCTTTCTCTCTTTCGTCTCTCTTTCTTCTTTCTTTCTTTCCTCTTCTTTCTTTCTCTTCCTCTTCTCTTTTCTTTCCTTTTCCTTTTCCTCCACAACACGCTCCTTAGTAAGCATTAGCTAAAACAACTAAAGGCGGATACACGCCTACTGCACAACCATTGTATTGGCGATCAACAGGCGGACCGACCACTACTAGACCACCACAATCATGTACACAAGAATAGGCATCCTAGGCAGAGCACGGTGAGCCATAGGCATAGCCCGTCTACATTCCCCAAGGGAGGCTTTATATATAGACGTTAAATACAACTCACTCACTCACTCCGCGCAGAAGATAAGATCGTCAAAACTCGTCCTACAGGACGTGCGCTGTTAGCAGCACTTGGCATGCAGTAGCGTACAGTAGCGTGCTCAGATGTCGCGGTATGCCATCGTAACGAATCCGACGCTATGCCCTCAGTAGGTAGACTGCTGAGAATAACTGTGGCTTGTGCTGGCTGTCAAGCGTCTGCCCTTGTGCACCCACTGTGCGCTTGGGCACTTCTCCCCTTCTCGCTAGTTATAATGCAGGGCGGCTCAGCGCTCTGCCACTCTGCTTGTAGCGCCAACGAGTCCACCTATCCTCTTTGTGATGCCGCCTTCAACGCTGCGGCACAGCCTTGCGGCTGGTATGCTGCGCGCACGTTCAGCCACGCCTTCCCCGCCTAAAGTCTGATGCGACGCCGTCACCACATCAAGAATGCAACAACAAGCGCTACCTCTAGGTCAAATATCGTTGCAGCGTGCAGTCTGCTATAGACCTGCCTACCTTGGTACTAGCTCTTCATCCTCCCTTCTGTGAGCTGACCTGGAAAAGGAGCAGGAAAGTTAGTTGCTGCGCTCCCATTAGGCTGCCGCGCGAAGCCTTGTCTCGTTCCCACCGCACGGCCACCACACACCCACACGAGTCGATGCGGCTTCTCAAGTACGAAGGAGATGGCCGCCTTACCATCGCCAGCATCGACGATGGCGCGATACCCCCTTATGCGATACTTTCACACACTTGGGGGGCAGATGCGGAGGAGGTGACCTTCGCAGACCTTGCAAGAGGCGGCGGCAAGCACAAGCCCGGGTACAAGAAGATTCGCTTGTGTGGAAAGCAAGCACAGCGAGATAGACTGCAGTACTTCTGGGTTGACACATGCTGCATCGACAAGTCAGACAAGGCTGAGCTCTCTTTGGCTATCCGGTCCATGTTTCGCTGGTACCAAAACGCGACGAAGTGCTATGTATACCTATCAGACGTATCAACAGAGCAGACGAAAGCTAGCAGCATATCCACCGAGCTTACTTGGGAGTCAGCCTTCAGGTCCAGTCGATGGTTCACGCGTGGCTGGACGCTCCAGGAGCTTCTCGCGCCAAGCATAGTCGAGTTCTTCTCGCAAGAATGGGAGAGGCTTGGCGATAAGATGTTATTAAAGCCACTAATCAAAAAGATCACTGGTATTCCATGCGAAGCGCTCGACGGAGCTCCTCCTTCCCGATTCAGCGTTGATGAGCGGCTGCGGTGGAAGGGCGACAGACAAACCAAACGCGAAGAAGACGCATGGTACTCATTGTCGGGCATCTTCGATGTTGAGATAGCGCCAGCTTACAGCGAAGGGGCGGGCAGCGCATTCAAACGTCTAAAGGACGAGATCGACAAGCTCGAGATTTGCATTCGAGACATACGTCACACGGATCCGCGTCATGACAAGAAGCGCATTGAGGACACAAAAGGCGGACTGCTAGCAGACTCCTACCGCTGGGTTCTGGACAACACCACTTTCCAGCAATGGCAGCAGGACCCGCACAGCCGGCTGCTATGGGTGAAAGGAGATCCCGGTAAAGGCAAGACGATGCTGCTCTGCGGCCTCATCAACGAGCTGCAGAGTTCGATGCCTGAAAGGGCTTTACTGTCGTACTTCTTCTGCCAAGCAACTGACGCGCGCATCAACAACGCCACGGCCGCGCTACGAGGGCTGTTGCACATGCTTGTGACTCAGCAGCCATCGCTTGCATCGCATATCCGCAAAAAGTACGACTGCGCCGGCAAGGCCCTGTTCGAAGATGCGAATGTCTGGGTAGTTTTGGTAGAGATCTTCGAAGATATGCTTCAAGACCCACAGCTGCGCCCGACGTATCTAATTATCGATGCGCTAGATGAGTGCGTCACTGATCTGCCAAAACTCTTAGAGTTAGTCGCCAAGCAGTCGTCTGTGTCCTCCCGCGTCAAGTGGATCGTTTCCAGCCGTAACTGGCCAGGCATTGAAACACATTTAGAGCGGGCAGGTCACAAAGTAAAGCTGAGTCTTGAGTTGAATGCGCAGGCGGTTGCGGCTGCAGTTGACGTCTTTATACAGCGAAAGGTGGATCAGTTGGCGCAGGAAAAGCAGTACAAGGCTGAGGTTCAACACGCTGTGCTCCAGCACCTGAGGTCAAACGCTGACAATACCTTCCTTTGGGTAGCGTTGGTGTGCCAGGACCTTAAAACGACACCAAAATGGAACGTGCTAAAGAAGCTAGCCCTATTCCCGCCTGGGCTAGATTCCTTGTACAGGCGGATGATGGACCAGATAAGCGAGTCTAACGGCGCCGAGATCTGCCTGCAGGTACTGGCTTCGACTGCGATCCTGTATCGACCTGTTACCATCTCTGAACTGGTTGCGCTCGTGGAGCCGCTTGAGGACTTAGACGACTTGGAGTCAGTGCGGGAGATTGTCGGCTTCTGTGGGTCGTTTCTGACCCTACGAGAAGACACAGTCTACTTTGTGCATCAGTCTGCAAAGGACTTCCTCTTCACAAAAGCATATAATGAAGCCTTCCCAGACGGGATCGAAGCCGCTCATCGGACGATCTTCTCAAGATCACTAGCGATTCTATCTAGGACGTTACACAGGGACATGTACAGCTTGGAAGCACCAGGATATCCTATCGAGAATGTCAGAATACCCGAGGCAGACCCATTAGCAGTGTCACGGTACCCGTGCATCTACTGGATCGACCATCTATACGAGTCGAAGTCTTTAGGGAGCAGCGTCGGTAGCCTGCAAGCCGAAGACGATGTCTATGAGTTTCTAAGGAAGAAGTATCTCTACTGGCTAGAAGGGCTTAGTCTGTGTAAGAGCGTAGGGAAAGGCGTTGTCTCGATGGAAAAACTGTGGTCACTAGTGCAGGTGTGTCGCACAAGATGTACATGCTTTTAGTTTGGCCTTAATGCTAACGCTAGCAGGAGATGTACGACCAAGATAGACTTGCTCAGCTTGTTCAAGACGCACAGCGATTCATTATGTACCACAAAGGCGCAATCGAGGGTTACCCTCTTCAGACTTATGCATCCGCTCTCCTGTTCAGTCCGACAGGCAGTCTGATCAGACAGCTGTTCGAGCACGAAGAGCCAGAAGCAATCAGCATTAGGCCAGCTCTGGACGACGAGTGGAGCGCGTGTCTGCAGACGCTCGAGGGCCATAGCAGTGTTGTCACCTCGGTGGCCTTCTCGCACGACTCGACCCGGCTGGCGTCGGCGTCCCACGAAAGGACCGTCAAGATCTGGGATGCGAGCAGCGGCGTATGTCTGCACACGCTCGAGGGCCATAGTAGGGAGGTCAGCTTGGTGGCCTTCTCGCACGACTCGACGCGGCTGGCGTCGGCGTCCTGGGACAGGACCGTCAAGGTCTGGGATGCGAGCAGCGGCGCGTGTCTGCACACGCTCGAGGGTCATAGCGATTATGTCACCTCGGTGGCCTTCTCGCGCGACTCGACCCGGCTGGCGTCGGCTTCTCACGACAGGACCGTCAAGGTCTGGGATGCGAGCAGCGACGCGTGTCTGCAGACGCTTGAGGGCCATAGCAGGGAGGTCAGCTCGGTGGCCTTCTCGCACGACTCGACGCGGCTGGCGTCGGCATCCTGGGACAGGACCGTCAAGGTCTGGGATGCGAGCAGCGGCGCGTGTCTGCAGACGCTTGACGTTGGCAGGGCCCTCCACGACTTGTCTTTTGATCATAATGGTTCTCGCCTCACCACTGAAATAGGCACTATCGTTGTTCAGAGCACAGAGGCTTCTAGTATGATAGATCTTGCAGAATCTGCCCGCCCTACATGCCCAGGCACTAGCTTTAGCTCAGACGGCATATGGATCCAGCATGCTGGTAACAACATGCTATGGGTACCATCAGAGTATCGGCCGTCGCGTTCGTCTGTGTGTGGGACTACAGTGGGTGTAGGTACTGGGTCTGGAAGAGTGTGGATTTGTAGTATAGACCCTTAGGTATATTGTTTGTTTTCGGAAGCGTATACGTCACCATGCTCAATCTGCTTGCATCGTACCTACGTGCCCTTAGACCCTATTATGCCACCCTTAGTTGCTCGGGACTTCTCTCTGTTAGAGAAAAGCCAGGAAACAGCAAGAACTATCCTGGATTCGTGGAGTAATGTAACATAACCACAGCAACCCTCTCTGACAGTTCTAGAAGCTTCTAGGCAATAATACAGGGACTATCTGTTCGCATGCATCCCCGTCCCCCTCTATCAGATAGAGGGCTAATGGAACCTAAGAGAAGGCGAAAAATCCTTTATCTTACCGTACGAAGACTGCTAATTAGCACGCGCTACAGCTATTCTTAGCAGTTGATTGCTATGGGCATAGCGTCGGATTCGTTACGATGGCATACCGCGACATCTGAGCACGCTACTGTACGCTACTGCATGCCAAGTGCTGCTAACAGCGCACGTCCTGTAGGACGAGTTTTGACGATCTTATCTTCTGCGCGGAGTGAGTGAGTGAGTTGTATTTAACGTCTATATATAAAGCCTCCCTTGGGGAATGTAGACGGGCTATGCCTATGGCTCACCGTGCTCTGCCTAGGATGCCTATTCTTGTGTACATGATTGTGGTGGTCTAGTAGTGGTCGGTCCGCCTGTTGATCGCCAATACAATGGTTGTGCAGTAGGCGTGTATCCGCCTTTAGTTGTTTTAGCTAATGCTTACTAAGGAGCGTGTTGTGCGGAGGAAAAGGAAAAGGAAAGAAAAGAGAAGAGGAAGAGAAAGAAAGAAGAGGAAAAGAAAGAAAGAAGAAAGAGAGACGAAAGAGAGAAAGAAAAGGTATTACAAGTGTAGGCTCTAGTGAGGCCTACATATTGTGCGGTAGAAACCTGTGATTTCTAAGAAAGCGGCAAAGTCCTCTGGCTCTTCCTAGAGCGTCTGGAGGTACTTGGCTGCTTCACTAGGTGTCCTAGGGGGTGCTGGTGGCCGTTTCGGCCAGCGCCGGAAGACGCTTGCTGTTGTGGTTTTCCGGCATAGTGCGATGTGCAAGGGGGTCTTTGGGCGCCCACAGGTGCACTTCAGAGTCGCGTTGTGATGGTGGAATTTCTGATGGTACCATGCAAAGTCTCCATGGCTAGTCCGGATTGCTAGCAGTCTTGCTAGGGTAGGGCGTGTTAGCTCTAGCTCATGTGGTGGCTAGGTGGGTTGGTACGGCAGCTTCTACTGGGTATACCAGTTAGAGAGCTTGCTCTTTGCGTTGCTCCACCAGGCTGTACTAGCCGCGGCTAGTGCTGCTTTCCTTATTGTCCGTATGCCTGATACTGTTGGTTGTGCTGCTAGTCCAAATGGCCTAGAGGGTTCTTTTGCCTCAGTATCCGCGAGGCTATCCGCTGCTTCGTTGCCTTCAATGTTGGTGTGTCCTGGTGCCCATCGGATCTTGATATTAGGCATTGTATCTATTATCTCCTGACATTGAAGGAACGCCCATTGCGAGGAGTCTGAAGCTGTTCCGCGTAGGCACTAGATTACTGAGGTGCTGTCTATGCACATATAAACCGCATCTGTTGGTCCTGCTACTGTATTGATGACCTGCCTCGCCTCGTCTTGCGTCCTTTAGAATTAGTCTTAGTATAGAAGTTTTACTTAAGCATGTGGCTATTCCTAGAAGTTTGTATCTTAATTAATGCAAGCTTTGTAAATTTTAATTCTAGATATTGTTAGACAACTGTTATAGATTACTACCAATTGAGGATGACTTGTTACACATCTGACTATACTGTACAACAGGCGGTATAGATTACACCCCCACCCCTGTAGAACACTAGCACTAATGTGGCAGGACCCTTGTCGTGTGGACCGTGCGGCGAGAACAAAGCTGACTGCAGAACCGGAAACCGATTGTGCTCGCGACTGTATATAGATGTTATCTGCGACAAATATCAGCTTCCTGAGAAAGCTGCTTTGGAGTTCATAAGATGACTAAGAAAAGCGCTCGTCTAGAAAAGAACATCGTATAGATTTAACTATATATAGCGTGCGCGATCCAGACGCCCCACCTGGGAAAAGACAATACCATAGCAGTTGTGCAGGGTGTGAGTCACACCGTGTGGCCAACCTCCGCACGCAAGGAGAGACTATTACAAAGCTATGGCGGGAGAACAGAGGGTCGCGCAGACGTATTCCACCCGCAAGCCTCTGCTAGCAATTCTCTACGATCCCCCAGCGATCCATGGCGAGTTCGCATCAAGTCGCTCCTCCGCTTTCTCGATATATGTGATTGTGTCGTCGCACTCTCCACCTCCTGTAGGGCCAATGTGGCTGCAGTGAACTCCAGGCCGATACTTGACCATGAGCTCGTGTACACTGCGGCACATGAGTGTGTTCATGCCCAGCTCAAAGCTCTGACCCACGCGTATCTCTTTCGTCAGAAAATTATAGCATCCCTCCCAAGAATCGTACTGGGCGTTCGTGCCATTACAGTATCTTTCATGCGAGTTGCAGATCGATGTCGCAATCTTGTTTACTGTCTTGCCGCCAGCCTCCTCAGCAGAGCCGCCTAAGCTTAGTATAAGAGTTTGGAAGAGGTTTCCAAACCACTTGAACACAACATCATACTGCGTCATCTGGCGAGCAGAGTTCCACGTCATCCATGTGTTGATCACAACTGGCAGGGAGATGTTGTTGAACGCTGGAAAGGTAAAGTTGACGCGCGTGGTTGCTGATGCGATGTTCTGGACCGCTGCAAACTGGATAACTTCGTACTCGGTGGGATTTCCGATGATAGACAGAGAGTCTGAGGGCATGAAGAGCCCGAAGATGTACTCGGTGTTGAGCTCACGGCCTACGAAGGTGCGCGTGTCGGAAACGCGTCCTTGGATCTGCTGATGGTCAGTACCGGTGACTCAACGCAAGAGTCGTAATCTTACATTGTCAGAGAATATAGTTGAGTTGATGGACTCGGCTTCTTTGACGTTATTGGGCGTTATCCATCGCTCGTAGAACTCGTGCTGGAGGCGCCAGAGTTCTTCATAGCCGAGGTCTGGAGTGGGATCTGTTTGCACACATGAGTCTGGAAGATGTCAGCGCCTCGTAATGCAAGCTGTTGGGGCTCGTTTACCGGCTACGACTCCCAACAGGCCCCGCAAAGCTAGCAGATATGCAGAGATCCTCATGTTCATAAGCCCTGTAAGGATGTTATATAAAGAGTGCCTCGGCCGACTTGTAAATGAGCTCACTGTCTCGAAGGTGAAGTCAAACTCTTATAATCGATGTCATCGCTGGTCTGAGCTCCGTGAAGATGCCAGCTGCTCTCAAGGTGCCTCGGCTTGACCGCATGGGGAACCACTTGGGGAACCACACGAGCAAACACGTGGAGACCTAATGATGCTTAGGCACGACTGCTAGTCGGATATCTTGCTGACTCCTTCTACCCGTGTGAACCTGCAGCTGTGGCTCGTGTAATAGGACATCTCGGCCGAAACAAACGCACACAAGACTAGCGCAAACTTGTTACACTGCTGGAATGAACGTTTTCATCTCCCTTGTGCATGATCTTGACCTCACAAGTAAGGGTCACTGCCCTCCCCGTGGTTTCATCATCTGTGCCATCTTCTGCTCGGCTACTCCACGTCATTGCAATGGCATACATCATTGATGGCAGAGACTGCATGGTAGGTTGCTTCTTACTGCAAACAAGTTGAACATAGCATTGCTGATGGACCAAACCCTTTCCAGGTCACAGAATGGATTTTCTTGGTCGTTGCCTGCGCTTTCGTTGCTCTGCGCATCTACGCGCACCTTTTTTGCGAAGGCAAGAGACTAAACTGGTCCGAGTTCTTGCTGATGGCCTCTGCCCTTGACGCCTTGGGTTTGATCATCTGCGACACCCTGACTTTCCAGATGGGCGTACTAGACGACTATCAGACTTCTGAAAAACTGTACAAGGTACGCGTTGTTTGGACTCCGCCCATCAACCCTCTCTCATCGCGCAAGTTACTCCACACTAGCCGCTTGATTCTACAAGGACCGCCACTGACACCTGCAACTTCAAGATCTCGTTCGCCTCGAACTATTTTTATGATTTCGGACTGGGGTTGCCCAAGCTCAGTATGCTGGCTTTCTACTGGACCTTCTTCGATCTTACCGGTCATCGAACGGTTCGGAAGTTCTTGCTGTTCACGACTGCCTTCGTCATTGCCTGCTATTCGACGACTCTCCTAGACGACACGTTCTTCTGCGGCAAAGACGTCTCTGTGCAGTGGTCTCAAGAGAGAGGCGCATGCTCGGTGTTCTATGCTCAGGAGCCTTTCATCCTAAACTTCACGCTCGGTCTGACCTGCTATCTGATCATTTATATGCTCCCCACGACCCTCCTTATACAAGGCATCCTCAAGACGTCCACTGCAGTCGTTCTAACTCTTGCTATGGGAGCACTTCCCATAGTCGCAGGCATCGTTCGCTTCATCTGCCTCAAAGTTGGGACGGGCCAGGAGAACCTTGTCTGTAGGTTTGATGACCACTACTGTATCCATGCAACCCGTGTACTGACCCTGATGCTACGCCGACATCCTCAGCATGGTCGAGTTGGCCCTCGCCATCATCGTCGCCTCCTTACCTGGACTGAAGATACTTCGGCTGAGGGACTCCAGAGGCAGGAAAAGAGGTTTGACGGCCACAACAGAGCTTGGAGAGGACACAAAGTCGTCGGAGTCGGGCACAGCACGAAGGGTTACGACCGAGCAAGTTTGACGAGGGGCATGTGTTTGGGGGAGTGCGCAAGCCACCCTATTGGCGTTTGTCGTACAATCTGATTTTCGTCTGCTATACGGACTGTGGGAGATACGAACGGGAACCCTTGAGGGGTAGAACCAGGCGGCAACGCCCGAGATCTGGCATACACCGTCCCTCTTCATTGAATTCGGCAGACTTTAGAATGCTCTAGAAATGCAAAATCTTAATAGATGCGCACTAATTTGGAGTCGCTACGTCCACGCAAAGTTATTTGGGTTACGTCTGCGGAGTCCGATCCAGTGGAACATGACTTAGACGAACGTAGTGCTACGATAGAGCCAAGGGTCGTTCCGAGGAAGCACACCGCACAGGTCTGCACAACACCAACAAGCTACCGCCACATGTTTAGTCTGGAAGACGTTGCGCTAGCGGTTTCTCTCCGACGCCGTTTTGCAGATTTTACCGGAGAGGTAATCACGAGTGGTAATCACGAGTGGTGTCTCCGAAAGCGCCCCACCCCAAGTAGTTACATCCCCACAGTCATCGGCTTTCGCACGGACCTACCGCACACGTGCTAGCGTCGAGCTGGACGACCACCTAAAGCATTGTGTCAGCATTTCTACTCGTGCAAAACCACTTGGGTAGGCCGGCACGCTATGCGCGTGTGAGAATAGATTCATGGAATGCCGAGTCATGCCGCCATCATTGTGGCAATGTCCGCGGCATGGTCTGGCGCAGACTGTGGAGGTGGAGAGATGGGAGGATACTGTACAATACTTGCCGTGACGCGCTACAGAACCCCTGATTAAGATAGTAGCTGGAAGAGGGGCGCGCACTGGGATACAGCACAGGGCCTGGCACGAATCCGTGAGGGTTGAGCTCCTATTGTTGATAGAATTGTCTTATGAGATGGCCTAGCAAATATCGCGAAGCGCAACATGTAGATGCACGATGCAGTAAAGCATTATTGGCTCTCTGTACGGACGTTAGGGTTGCAGATAGCAAAAGAATCACAGTTGTAGTGTATACACCTCGAAAACACTAACGCTCAATTAATTTGAACCATGTCCCTATCGCCTTGAAGAGTGATCAGTGAGCGAGCGTGAAGCACAGTCAGGATCGTCCCGATGCGATGGTGTCCTGCTGAATTTCTGAGCGAACAGCTTGGGATTTGTCTTCGCAAGCAGTGAGTGAGCAGTGGGTGAGCGTGGGTGAGCGTGGATGAGCAGTGGATGAGCAGCGGGTGAGCGAGGGTGAGCGTGGGTGAGCCATGGGTGAGCGTGGGTGAGCGTGGGTGAGCGAGGGTGAGCCGAGGGTGAGCCGAGGGTGAGCGAGGGTGAGCAAGGGTGAGCGAGGGTGAGCAAGGGTGAGCCGAGGGTGAGCCGAGGGTGGGCAGTGTATTGCACGGGCAGTCTATCACGACAACGTAGGATAATCACGAAACTTTGGCTTGGACACATCTACTAGTCATAACAGTCTACTTGAGCGTTTCTTCATTATCCATAGTATACGGCCTACTAGAGCAGCTGTGCGATGCAGCCACTCACTAAAGATTACGAGGCTATCAACACAGGCCGTTATGGACAAGACTGCAGACGGCCTACAAGCAGACGGCTCTGAGCTTGAGTAGTTACTGCATAGCAAGAAACCCTTGGAGATTCGGGTCATGCGCACTATTCGGGGCCCTGCAGTGAGCCCGTTTTGTGGGCAGCGTTCTAGGACCTGTAAGAGGCTGAAGCCTTGGTTAGTAGTACTTGGCCTGTGGCCTTCGTTATAGCTGGTTGGGATAGGCTGCAACCCTCGGAGCGTTGTCGGGGCTTCATCGGCGCTCCACGGACCCTTAGAAGTTTCTCGAACCTAGCACTACGTGATACATAGACTCAGCGCAAGCGTAGTGTAGCTTCTCTATCGAATTCATTACTGTTATACCTTGCACTTATGGTCAACCCATCGCACCCTTACAGGACCCGACTACTCTAGAAGACTTACTAAGCATCGCTTTCACGCTTTCTTATAACGGGACCTGTTCCCCAAACAGCATCGTACTCTAGACACAGTCTTGCAGAATGAAGACCATGGCGCTGTTCCCGTTGCTTCCACTCGCCGTGATCGGTCAAAATGAGTACAGCTGCGTGCTTGATGGCATCCCAGCAATCTCAATCACGGCAGCGCAAGGCTCTGGGGCCCCCGCAAGAGAATTCTTCCTGCCACTGTTCGCTAATTGCTCCGACGCAGAGTTGAGGAAGCCGTTACAACACTCGGCAGGGAGGTTGATGGTCTAACTGACTTACCCGCATGCTAACCGATAGCAGGAGTGATCTCCGCAGAGAACGTACTCCCAGAAATGGCCAGCTCTTTCATAGCCACAGGAGTCACCGACCAGCTCGGCTTTACGGGAAGTCAGCAAGCTTCACGTGTTAGTAAGTTCTTCCCCCTTGCGCTAGTCCGCTGTGTTGTCATTACGCAGGACGTGATCAAAGTTTTTAATAGCAGCGCCGCTACGAACATGAGCGGAAGCGGAGAGGCGGTGCCTATCGGTAGCATGCTCTGCGGCCGGTGAGTACTGATCGCCCTTGCAACTAGTGCGCGGCAGGGACGCTACTACAAGTAAGGAGGCGTCGACAGAGTTACATATTTAGAGGAGAATAGACCACACCTGTTCATCAGACTCCTAACATGAATTCTCTTCTGCGCTAGTTACCACAGTCAGCCTCTAGCACAACATACACAAAAACGACATGTACCCTGTGGTAGCTTTCACAAAGTCTGTAGCAGTAGAGCTGGCCTAGTTGCTCATGTCTGCTTCTGGCTGTGAAACTAGCCTATCGAACAGCGCAACACTAGAGACGGCTGGAACTATCTGCGCGATACACATGAGCTGTAGGCGCTGTGGGATTGTTGCGCATTGATTTGTGTGCATCAATCATGCGAGGGCTGGTGGGCGTTAACTATCTACTGCATCGAGGTTAGCGGGTTGAGTGCAAAATCGCGAGCGCACTTCCAAAGCGGCGTCGCAGAGAACATTAATTACGTCACAACGCGATTGCTGTATCGCAACGCACAACCTGTTGGACGAAGTTGTGCAGAGACAGAAGTGATGCAAACATGTATGCGACACTGTTGGCGTACGGTTTCTGGGTTTTTCTGCGCTTCTATTATGGGTTTGGTGAGTGACGTAGTTTGGTGTTCGAGGCTGGACTTAGGCTGACCCTATCGCCATCCCGCGCATCTAGGTCCTGTGTTGGGCCGTTGAACGGGAACTGCGGAGGCAGTTTGGCCACGCTCGCGTCGCAAGGCGACTGCTCCTGCTACAAACTCCCCTCCGTAGGACACGCACGTACCACAAGAAGAGTCAGATCCTTTTTAACCCGTGCACGGGAGGCGCGTAGTCGACTTGCTCTCTCGGGCTGTGAAAGTAAGCATCATTCTAGGGTGACCCCGCTCTCTAGATGTTGAGCCAATCCACTCAGAGTTGTAAATCGTTTTCGCTTTCCTCGCTTCGTGTCGACCCTGTTGGAGTCTGTTGGGGGGAAATCACTCGGGCAGTGGTATACCTTATCGCAGTGTGCTGGAGAGAGCATATACTGTTGAAGCGCCTGCATTGTAGCAAAGGCTGTGCGCTTCCTTGGACAAAGGGAGCAACAGAGTTCGGGTTCAATTTCGTCGACCACGCGTCTCTTTCCGAGCAAGCAAGAGCTATCCTCAAGCGGCGACGAATCTACCAGACTATCCACCTCACTACTCTGAGAGGGCGCGGGAGTTATCAAGGACCAGCCACTTAAACTATCAAGAAACGCTGTCGGCGTCCTGGGAACAGGAGACAGACGATGTGATGAGATATAGGTAGAGCTCGAGGGTGTGAGTGTGGAAAGGCTGTGAATCGTACAACCCTTGTCGTACAACTGGATGATGTCGTAGATGACATCTCGGTCCATAGCTGAGCAGCACTTCCCACTTTCCAGATGGTGCAGCAGCGCAGACGGCGCACTGAACCTTCGTGTGCATCCTTCTCCTATTGTCATTACCTCCTTCCACTCGTCGTAAGCACCGCTTACTACTGTGGCTGCCCTCGGTATCCACTGTGTCTAGGCGAAGGACTTAAATAAGTTCATGCCGCACACACTCACTTCCGCAAACCACCCGCTTTGAATTATCCATTACCCTTCCCGTCACGCGTATCTGCCCGAAACACATCTATATACACGTCACTTTGTACCATTTCAATCAACATGGTTTGGCTCACAACTATTATAAGCGTACTCACTGTTCCACATCTTATCCTCTCATCTCCACTTACTACTCCTGAGCGCATGCTCCCCGTACCCTCTACGACATGCGAAGGTTATTATTGTACTACCTATCCACAACCATGGACTGGTGCCAAGAAGAACATCACCCTTACATGCGGCACCAACACTTTCGGGCAATGGTGCCAAGGACGCTGTGAGAATGGTCGATGCCTATGATTCGACCCATTTGTCGACACGGCAAAGAGAACTACTTTCGACCCGCAACCCTCTCCTTCGACACGGGCAGTCCAGACGAAATTCCCTGTCGCTTTCCATTCACAAACGGCGGAGCACACAATGCCGCGAGGAACACGGGTCAGCTCGATAGCGTAGGAATTGAGCAATGAAGGAGGCAGTGGGTGGCGAGGACAGGAACGGGAGAGACTACCCATAAATGTAACGGTTTAGGCCTTGCCCAAATCCACTCTAGTACGAGTTGAGATAGCTCGTGTACGGTCATCTATATAAGAAGCTCACCCCACCTTAGATAGTCAATGCAGCGCAGTCCTCCCCTCTATCTTAACACCGTCACAATAAATAGTATCCTTTGTCTACTCCACACGCTTACTTGTCGTGGCGTCGGGGGCAGCAAGTACAAGCCGCGCTCCAGCAACGAATAAAAGCTTTTTTATCCACCAATACTGCTTAGATCACGAGGTGGAAAGCTAGTGAACCCGAGTTAATGCAGAAACTCATCAGTAAGATCACCTTGGCCCGAGCTTTGTTTGTGCACTTACCATGCATCACTTTAAGAAAGCAGTGCGCGGGTCGAAACAGCAGAACTTATGTGAGATGGAAGCGATCACGGAAGCTTAGTCAATCGCTCTGTTGTATCTCCTTCAAAACAAGCTAACTTGCTACAGCAGCAGCGATTATGAAAAAGTTACAAACAGCAGGAGGAGGCATGAGACGTGTGCCAAGTTTTTTGATCTACAACAGTGTCTATAGCATCACGGTGAAGCTTTACTCTGACCACCAAAGAAGGTTAGAGGCACATGCTTGTGGGATCGTAGAGGAGCGTGAAAAGAGGAAGCTACAACTCCGAAAGCTGAGGAAGCCGCGCCTAAGAAGGCTGGCAAGACACGTAAGCTGTAGATAGCTGAGGACAAGCGTGTATTGTGTGAGGTAGCGTCAGCAGTGGCTTACGTGGTTGTTTTACACCTGTCTGTTGCTATCCTGAGTAGTTCACTGCACGTCATCCTGATGGGTTCATCTGCCTCGAACGCATGCAAGTCGATGACCAAGCTATCGCATATTCCAAGCTTGGTAGAAGCTCGCCTAGGTTGCTTTATTGAGACCCAGTCTATTTCTTGCCCTGCTGCCCGTACACGTGCAGAGGCAAGGCAGGCAGGCTCTTGTTCAAGTCTACTGGTGAAGCCACCTGCATACAGTGATATGTCAGCGGCTCTCTCCCGATTGCGACATCCATTCCCTCAAGTTTTCCCATGAAACGAGCGGCATTTGCTCCTCGCACAAACTGCAAGGCGCCTTCCGAATGCCTACTGGCCGCAGGATGGGCCAGGCTGTGCTTACTTGAAGGCGCTGGGTAGACCGCCTCTCTCCCTCCTGGTCCGAAGCTCTGCACTCTCCTACCGTCTGGTAGACAGATTTTGACTGGGCTACGCATAGCGTCCAGTATGTGTCTCGGTGTCGAATCCCGTCTATGCATGTATACATTGTCCATCGAAATCGTTCCAGCTTCGATGGCCAGGGATGTTCGGCAGGCCCAGTCTGGACTCTCCTGGTGTTGTTGTGCCTTGCAAGTGGATCGAGTAGAGCGCTGAATATCCAAACGAAGTTTTCGGAAGTTCCTCGAAACCGGCTTGGAGTTGGTTATAGCTCTTGTTGAGATGCTGTCTCGCTGCTTTGTAGAATCCAGCGAATCTCTCTTGGGGACGGCAGGAACAGCTCGTGGTCGCTCGTACCGCATGTCCACAACATCCGGATCGAAGGGACTGTCGTAGAGTGAGGTATAATCGGCAATCAGTTGTTCGATTAGCGCAGACTCTCCCGCAAACGGAGCTAGGGTATCAGCAGTACGACGGCATTCTGCGTCCGCTGCGCGACTGGAGAGGGTACTGTCGCTGTTCTTCTCCATCAAGTCGGCCACATTGGAGAGACTTTGCTGCTTAGCGAGCCGTGGATCGGATGTAAGACTTGAGTTCGTGGCAGCTACCTGAAACCTGTTCTCTTCGCTGTTCGTTGTGCGCGCGAGAGTGAGACAATGGGCACTGTCGGCAAAATGGATTCCAGCACTTGCTCTGAAGGCGTCCCCGGTATCCTTGCCTTCTTCTGTTTGTACCTCCCAACACAAGCTAGACGGTAGGGAACGTCTCCTGCTTTGTGGGATTATGCCGCCGTCTGCTTTCGACTGAATCAGTTTGTCCTCGTATCTAGACAAGGGAAACATGCTTCGCCGATGGACTCCTGATTCAACTCTACCCGTGGTGTGACGCGCCGTGTCCCAAACCCGTCTCGTTGGGATCGCTAGCCACTTGCTACGGTACGATGTCGTTTTTGCTTGTACTCCACGGCGAGGAGCTTGATCTTTCTCTTCGAAGACGCGCGGGTTAGGCTTGGCGGCTGTGTCTCGAGGGCGGGAACATTTGGGCCTCTCCAGCACGTCGTGAAATTCACCTCGCGGTGTTATGCCTGTCCCGCCCGCGTAAGGGGACGATGTACCTGCTCGATACGAGTCTGGTGTTCTTTGTGGTAGCGCCGTTTGGTTTTTGTCGTCCCCATCTTTCACCTCTGGTGCGCACTCTGTACACTGTGCCTCGATGTGTGCTGGGCGATTCTCAGCTCGACTGTGCTCTTTGGACGATTCAAATCCGATCAAGCCGTGCCATTGTTCCTCGTTATCGTGTTGCCGCGGCTCGATGAACTCATCGTGGTGCTTGCATACAGAGGTACGACGAGATATCTGCGTGTCCGCTGGGCGGCTGTCATTCCGCGGTCCAACATCCGGGGAAAGCATGTCCGTGAAATATGACATTCTAAACTCTTCGTACTCATACAGAGCCTGCACGAGGTAGGTGCAGCGGCAGTGGTGTTGTAGTGAGATGCAATCGTCAAACTTGTACCTGCAGTACACTGCGTCTAATGCGGTCATTAGTGCAATCTCTTTAAAGTTACACGGAACTCAATAGGTCATTAGGATGAGACGCCGTCACGACCTGCGACTATCAAATCACCCCAGTGACAACAGACTCTGGATAAGGCGGATCTGCAGTCCTGAGTGGTCTGTTGTGCATCACTAGTGGCTTACGTGATTGCTCCAGGTCGTCTATTGCTATCCCGAGTCGCTCACTGCCAGACTTGTCAACAATCAAGCCAATCAAGCCGGTCTAACCTAATATGGTAATCCACTAACTCGCGTAGGTTAAGATCTTACTAAATGTATTTAGATCGGCTTGATTGGCTTGATTGTTGACAAGTCTGCTCACTGCAAGTCATCCCGAGTGACTCTTACATCACGTGGATGCCCAGTACTTTCGTTTGTCTAGATATAGATGGGAGCATGTGGGCACGGCCCCATATGTCAAGTAATGCTTTCCCGTGCCACTCAGATGCCGCGGGCATCTTTTCGCTTGCAGCTGAACAAAGAAAGCCTTGATCAGTTGCGTAGCTCCCATTTCCTTAACCTACAGCATGCTTCTATGAAGCCTTGGTGGCAGATATGATGCACACCCCACGAGTCCTACGCCGTCGACCAACCATACAGGTGCTCATTCTTGTTTTCGTTGTATTCAACATTTTCGAGGTTGCACAGATTCTGTGCTGTCTTTCGAGCTCTACGAATGAACCAGTTGCTCAATGATCAGAACGAGTGTACATCGCTAGTATACATTGGAACAACGAGCGGATTCTGCGAAGTCACTGGAACGATGCCGTACTCGCTCTGGCGAACGCGCTTGGCCGGGAGAATGTCTTCGTCGCCGTCTACGAAAGCGGGAGCTGGGACGATAGCAAAGGCGCTCTGCGGGAGCTCGATATGGCGCTCGTGGCACATAAAATTAGGCGAAACATAACACTGTCGGAGACTAGCCATCTAGATGAGATCTCTGTGGTGGAAAGAGGCTCAGGCTGGGTCGACACACCCAGGGGAAAAAGAGAGCTCAGGTGGATACCATATCTTTCTCGACTTCGTAACTGGACCCTTGAGCATTTGCAGGAGCTAGCTCTGCAAGGGGAGCGGTTTGATAAAGTTCTTTTCTTGAACGATGTCGTATTAAATGTATGCCTGATGAGCGGACTCACACTCGAAGTGCCTAGAGAAGCTAACAGTAGTACAGACGGATGACGTCTTCCGACTACTCAACACAAACGATGGAGACTTTGCAGCTGCTTGTTCACTAGACTTTAATCAGCCTCCGCAGTTCTACGATACTTTTGCGCTCCGGGATGCCGAAGGCCATGAGAGTCTCATGCAGACGTGGCCGTACTTCCGAGCCAGGGAGTCCCGAGAAGCGGTGTTGAAAAATAGCCCAGTGCCCGTGACTAGTTGTTGGAACGGCATAGGTAAGTTGTCAAGCAATAGAGTCTTTATAGATACGAGATGCACCGCGATAGTGGAGGTAGAGGTATATTGCCTTGTAAGACTAGAGACGAACCGCTGTCGAGCCACAACAGCGGTAAGGTAGGCTAATATACTGCGATTGCTTGGCATACCGGCCCGAACGGGCCCGGAGTAACCTGGTGCCTGACATAAGTCCGAGATATTATTGATGGGCTCTACAGTCGATAACTTCTTTCCATCATTCCCTTTTCCGTCAATGGCTAATTCGCTACGTTCCAATGCAGTTGCGATGCCTGCTTGACCTTTCATTTCGAGTCCCCCGTTGCAATTTCGTGGCATTCCAGACTCTCTTGCGGCTTCGCATCTCGAAGGTTCTGAATGTTGCCTAATACACACAAATAACCCTCTTCGTGTCGAGAAACGAATGTACGTAAATCCTCAGGTGCGCGTAGGGTATAGTGGTGAGGCATACGATGCTATACATCCACAAGGGTTGCTGGTTTCCTCTTGGCAGGTATTCAAGGCTTTGTGGAAGAACCGCATTTGCCGATGGATAACCTCACCTTGGCTTAAAGAGTGGGAGGTATCAAGGAGAGTTAGAAGGTGGAAACGTGTGAGCAAAGAAAACGAAGAAGCTGGAGAGCTTTGTCTTATCAACGAAATGCAGGTACTTGTTGAGATTGGCTGGAAGCATGTATAGAGCGTCGATTTGCTGAAAAGTCCAAAAGCCGGCTACTTTGGAGTCGATAATCGTACTATCAAGAAACACTATATGGTGGGTACACTCATGCGACACGATCCACAAGCGAGCTAGTCGCTTTCTCAAGTTTCGCACCCTCCACGTTTGTGACTCAGCTTCTGTGCACTTCAACGATTGTAGCAGCATTACCCAACATACGAACATATGTGCCATAACTGATTGCAAATGCATGAAATTTCATCTAAGCGGCTTTGAAGTCAGTCCTGCTACAGTATTGCTAGTTACAACGCGCTGGTAACAAATCGGCTTCCAAGCGAAGGTAAACAGCAACAAGGATATTGTGTCACTAGCAACTGATAATCTGGCTGATACAGCCGGCAACGTACACAAGATGGTACTGCGCACAATCACTAGCCTTTCTACTATGCGTAGTGATAGTTGGGATCAAGCCGACGTTGGTGTAGAACGGCGGAGATAGTGAACGACGGCGCCGTCACGCGCACTCGGAACAACTGTGAGATGTGTTGGACTGCCGTATTCCTGCTACAAGATCGTTCTGCAAGCTGCTTACTGGTAAGCGTTATCGTTTCTAGCTTAGTTGATGTGGCACTCTGCCTCACGTTTGGGCAAGGAGAAAGCTGGGAAGCGATACATACTATTCCGAGAATATATTCTCTTCTGACCTGTTCTTGCGTTTGTTGTGTTGGGGAGTGTCTGTAGCGTCCCGCCACGCAGGGCGTCCCGCTACCCAGGGACGGACATTAGTCAGGATTGCCCTAGGACGCCTCAAAAACACCAAAAACTTGATCAATATAGGGATTTGTATATAAATCTACAACTTCAAGTTACAATCCGCCCAAAATCAACTCAAACCCTATTTTTTCAAGTAATATGATGCAGTTTTTGGTGGTGGCTCACAAAAAAACGCATACCCCACATCACCTGTTGCTCGAGTGTATTGAATTACGTAAGAATGCTCTAAAGCCCAAATCCGTTCTCTGTGATTGGCCTTACAATCTGCAAGGTCCACTGCGAAGCAGGCGAAGTCCGGGGATCTCTTAGATGTAATTCACTCCCATCTGCATCTGCTGCCAAGACCAATGTCCCAGAGTACGAGTTCGTTAACTTCCAGGTTCCATTTCCTTGGCTTTCAATATGCCATTGTTGTCCAGAGTAGGCACCGGCCTTAGCCAAATGTGGCCGTGTTTTGTCGTCGCCATATACGTCCAACAACATGTTGGTTCCGAGCCACATAGTACAGAGATTGTAGGCTCCGTGACTAGTTTTCGATGGCCGAAGCTGCCAATACTGACCACTTAAATTTCCCTCTGTGGACGTTTGCAATCTACCGTCGTGTTGCTGATTCCCATCGTTGACAACATCGAGCGCCAGGCCTGGCTTCGCTGTATTCTTGATTTTGTACCATGATTTGGTATCAAATAATGGCACTGTGGGGGCAACTGGTGCCGTTGTTGCATTGGTTCCCTTTGGTGGCAGAGGTTTGGTAACGCGTAAACCAATGTATGGTTGATGGTTATTGGGTAGTGGGGTGCTGCCAACCTGTTTGCCGAAAACTTTCAAAATCATCTTGCGGTTATACGTGGCAAAGCCTCCTTTAACCCCCAAACCATTTATATCCCGTTCCCCAGAGTTCTTTCCCTTCATTAGGTCTTTCAGATAGTCGGTCGCTTGCTTGACAACATCATCAGAGACATCATCCAAGCTTTGGGAAAACTTCTGCAATTGAGCTTCGACCTGCTCGGAAACCCAAGCACCAATAGTACCAGTGGGAATAGATATAGCGAAGGTAAGTACATCGAATTCATTAATGAGATCTCCCCAAACAATAGTCCAACCGCCTGCTGCAATTCCGCTTCGTACTTCATTGCGGTTGGTAACTTCTGTCATGGTCGGGCTTTGGTAGAAGAATAAATGTTTAGTCAGGTGTTTAGGATAAACTTGTAGCCCACCCTCCCTTGCCTCCTTCTTATAAAAAGATGAGCAGATGAAGAGAACAGTCGCGGCCTCCAAAACGTCGATTGGGCAATACTAAGGTACGCGTCAAGCTATAAAAATAAGCAAGAAATGTCTCATGACAATTACTAAAGATTTAATTAGAGTTTTCTCAGCCCCAGCACCTCAGCTGAACAGATGCCCACCAATAAGCATAATATTTTTATTACCAAGCCTTAACCTGAAGGGATGGCAGTAGAACATACGACCGCGTACAATCGAGAGACTTAGTCTGTTCGCGTAACGCGCTAGCCCGAGTCGGCTTGCGACGTTAGCTTGTTGATCTTTGGTCTGCGCTTCACTCCGAACTTGCGGTATCCCTCAGCCTCAGCTTGGGCTAGCAGAAAATCGCGCTGGCGTTCTAGCTGCACCACTAAAAAGAGCTCATATCGACGCAGTCTTGCTGTGGTGGACATTGGAAAGCACTAACGCGATCGTGTTGCGTCGCGGCCCGTGCGTTACTGTACGCGAACAGACTATAGTCACCTGATTGTATTGGAGATACGGAAGAATAACAGATCAAGCTTGGAGAAGACGGTAGCAACGACTTGCCGGATGACGACACGGTGAATTCATCATATTCAACATTTCAAATATTCATCGCCTTTCGAGATGAGGTTACTCAAATCTCAAGTTCAAGAAGAAGCCGATGAGGGAGGCCGAACAGCTGAACGTGCAAGTGATGGAGACGCATTGAAGCTGTCCTAGTCTTCGAGGCGCCAGTAGAACACGGCGGTGATGACAAGATAGTCAGCCAAGGTTGACACTTCAGCTGCCAACTAGATATAACAAAGATTTGTTGCTAGGAAGTTCAGCCGCATAATTTAGGATGCAACTTAAACCATAGAGCTTAGTAAAGAAGATACTCGTGGTGTGACACCACTTCACTAGAGCCTAGACTATTAATCACATTTGATAGGTGTCCGCTCAGCCAAGTATATGCCAAGGCTAAAAAAAATTAGTTCAGCCAGTCAGCGACAGCTTGGCGGGAGGAACGCCAAGAATAAGGCGATAAATTATCCGTGCGCGGAGAGAGGTGCAGGACCTGTAAGGGGCTACGCCATGATAAATGAACTGCTCTAGTCACATGACGTATGGCTTAGCGCCGACTAAGAGCAGTAAGGCGCAAGGCCTTCAAAGAGCGGGTCGTACGCGCAAGAGAACCTTCTTCTCTTATCTTTCTTCTTCTGTATATAGGACAAATACATACTCGTTAGCAAGCCTCTTTCCGCCCTTAACAGGACCGTCTAGTTCATAGAGTCCGCAACAAGCAAGCGATGGGCAGGTTGATTACTAAATTGGGACTGTCACGGGCCGGAGAGTGGTCTTTTATGACTTAATGTGGTAATCAATCTGCCTATCGCTTGCTTGTTGCGGACTCTGCTAGTTCAATTCTTCGTAGGCTAGTAAATGAGGTTGGGGTACCCAGCAGTGGGTATGGGTTGGGTTGGAGTCGCACAGACTCTAGGTAGGGTTGGGTTAGAGGCTGCGATAAAGCATCTAATTGGTCTATAAACCTAGTAGAGTCAACGCGACCTAGAGGCAAGCTAAGTCTGTGCGGCCTACCCGGGACCCAACCCTAATTACATAGGACCTTAAGTTAGATTAGCGCGTTTTCATTCACGAGGCAACATCGTCATGGCCAAAACACATGGCTAGCGGATGTGGCAGTACTTAACCGCCACAACGCCACACCTCTGCCAGTTGTTGCCAACGCCAACCACAGCTGCCCATTTGCCTCTCATTCTCTACTCTCCTTTCTCTCTCTCTCTCTATATATATATCTATATATGTATATATTCACAAGCAGCACTAGGTATCGAAATAATTCGTGTCCGCTGATGTAAGCCAGACCTCATCCAAAAAGCGGACACAAATCAGTGAAAAGTTATACGATCGTGGGTTAAGACAGAAATTGGGCAAGTGCGTTTACCCCACATGTTGGCATGTACCTAGTGTGATGGCGCTGAAACATTCAAACGCGGGGTAAAGCAAATCACCGGTTCAGAAGTGAATGGGGTGACTTGCAGCCATGAGGATCTATCACGTGCATCTCAACAAGTTTGAACCCGCAAACTTTAAACTAGGCTGTTACGTCATTACGCAAATGCTACGCTACTAAATAAGTGTTACCCATCTGCACGATAGCATTCCAGGATAGCTCTCTCGTTCTGTTGTTGTCACAACCACTGAGTCTAAAACTCCGAGCGAACACCTCTGTTCACGAATCAATACCATACAAACCATGGCTAAGAATACCCCTGACGAAAGGCTGGTATATTTAGCTTTGAGAGGTGTCTTTAAGGGAGCAGATGCTCATATTCGTAAAGCAAAGAAAATCCACGAACTTATTCAGAAACATCACCATGAAATCAACATCAAGAATCTCATACAGGAGCATAACATGGACAATCTTTGCAATGTAGCAAAAGTCCTTCTTGAACAACAGGTTTTCAGTTCAACACTAAAAGCAAAAATCCGTTTTCCGGAGGTATTTGAAGTTTCCCCCAGCCAGAGCGCAGAACGGGCGATCTCAGAGTCCGAAGCAGCAAAAACCGAGGCCGATGCTATCCAGTGTGCAGCTGAAGGTCGCCAAGTTGCAATTGCAGTAAATCAACTTGACGGTGGACATGGAGTCAGTGGAACGGAAAAGGGAAAAGAGAAAGGCAAGTAAACATAAGCATGCGTACATGTCGACGTGCTTGCTAAGGCAAGGTAGCTTCTCAAGGCTTGGACATTCAGTCTGGAAAACGTATGTACTCGCAACCCAGCAGCTCTGCACCATCGCTGTATCCGGTTTATCTACCATTTGCTGTTCAGCACCGACTTTTAGTAAGGGTCCAGCACATACTTGAAAGAGCTTGTTACGGTTTTGCGCAGAAGAAATTGGGCGGCGTAGTACAAAGGGAAGGATGGGACTGTGCTGAAGCGGTTGAGCTCAATCGATGGCCCAAGATATTCCTGATGTACCAAGACGAATTCTCTGCGAACGAGTTAGAGGTTCTTGGAAAGCCTTTACCCGAGCTACTGGACTCAATAACACAACTCCGGCATGCTGCGGTTCACCGAATTCGCCTTAGTGCGAATAGCGCTTTACAATTTGTTGTTGACGCTGAGTCGCTAGCAATGTTGTTACGGGACGACGCTTCTATCAATTCTGTTTCGAGATTGCGGCGCGAAAGTCAGTTTACCATTGAGGACCTCAAGAGAAACAAGGACTTGTTGGAATCGAGGCTAGCAGAGATAAGAAAGCAGTTGGCAGCTAGAAGAGCCGAATTGGAGCGCCAGGAACTCGATGCAGTTGAGAACACGTTCAAAGAGGATAAAGAGTATCTAGCATTCGCTGGAGCAAACTTGGAGCAAGCACTAAACTCACCCGCAACGGTAATACACAGCCAAACTGCCACAGAAGACGAGCTGTCTTCGGAAGCAGATTTTGATGAAAGTGTATATGAAGCTGGACCCAGTCAAAAGTGCACAGATTGATTCATTAAATTGGTATCACACACAATTTCATGCTCTCTTTTTTTCGTCCTCTTCAAAAAGTGACACCCTGCTTGTTATGAATGCATAGCATGTAGAAATGGGTGCTGTAAGCCTAGGACTACATCACATGACTGCTCTGCAGTCATGACTAATGCGTCCGACTATTTCAGAGCTTAACACACACTTGTACATACACAAAAGAATACAGTAGCGATTGCGGTTCCCTCAATCCACGCAGCTGCGTAACTGTCTTGCAGAGTCCCACCTTCCTTACACAGCTTAGCGCTATATGCCAGTATCTGCGGAAGAATAGTCGATATGATTGGCTAGTTTGAATTCTGTCATGAGTGGATCTCTGTACAGTAGTGCTGAACGTTTATCGAGCAGTCGTCCTCAGACGACGACGGCACAATCTCTGCGACGTGCGTACAAATACAGCCCCGAGGAATGGATCGCTATGTCCTCGTCATCACAACCTTAGTCCACAATGCTTCTACTAAACATCTTCTTCGCACTCCTCTTTCCCTCAGCTCTGAGAGCACGCCCCGTAGCCACTGCTGTTCTGCCACCTAGTCTACAGACCTCCTCTCACCTGGTTTTCCAGTTCGACAACGGCACCTGGGTCGAAAACATCGCCGTTCGCTCGAACGGAGATCTGCTCGTCACACTTGTCGATCGACCCGAACTTTACCACGTCGATCCATTCCACAACACCGCAACACTCGTTACAAACCTCGAAGGCGAGGCCCACGCTCTCAGTTTGCTTGGTATCACGGAGATGGCTCCCGACATCTTCGTCTTCGTCGCTGGCAATTTTTCGATTTCTCGAAGCGCACCAGATCCAGCAAGCTATTCGGTATGGCAAATAGACTTCAACCGTGGTGGGGAGTGCGAAAAAATCTCAGAAATCGAAAGACTACCAGAAGCAAGCTTTTTGAATGGTATGACGGCGTTGGATCGTCGCGAAGGCACGGTTCTGATCTCAGACTCGGTTCGAGGCGTCGTCTGGCGTTTGAACATATGGACTGGAAAGTACGAAGTGGTACTGGAGGATATGACGATGAAGCCGGTCCAAAATGTACCTCTCATCCTGGGTATCAATGGAATCCGAGTCTTCCAGGGCTACGCGTACTACGTAAACGCAATCAAAGGCCTATTCTGCCGCACGCGTATCGATCTGTCCACAGGAAAGGCGTCCAGGCCATACGAGATTCTCGCAACCGACGTGTTTGGAGATGACTTCATAATGTCGAAAGAAGGGATCGCGTTCATCACCGAGAACGGCGAAAACTCGTTGGTAAGAGTGGATGTCGATGGAACTCGAAGCTTGGTTGCGGGAGGAGCTAATTCAACATTGATTGCGGGCGCAACTTCAGCTGCCTTTGGAAGAACATGGATGGATCAAGACA